CCCCGGCCAATGACCCGCAGCGTGCGGTAGCCCCGCCAGGCGCCGAAGCACCTCGAAGCAGCGGTGGCGAGGAACGGTCGAAGCGGGATCCCCGGCTTTCGTTGCTTCAGATTCTGACTTACTAGTAGTAACAGGTGCCACGCTAGTAGTAACAAGTGCCACGCTACTAGTAACAGGTGCCTTACTAGTAGTAACAAGAACGCTACGAACGGAGCAAAGGGCATCGCTTCTAGTAACAAGGGCCTAAGCGCCATTCAGTGCACTTGGAAGTAGCTGTGTTTGTGACTCGTCGAAAGCTCCCCTCCTTGCGCGTCAAGAACAGTGGAAGTCGTGTGATCAGAGCTTAAGGTCTGAAGATATTTCCGTATTTCTTGTGTATCGTTTTTTTGCATCTGAACACTGTGAAGACATCTCCTCCAATGGACTTGATCGAAAGTCGAGCATCACTCCAGGCTGGGATGCTTCGAGCTAATGGTCTGCAAACTTGTGGTTGTGGGTGGAGGGCCCACATCCATCGTTGCCAAATGTCTGTGGCAGTGGGTCTGGGCGCTGGTGCTGCTGTCAGATCTGAATGCTCGCCCGCAGGGGGTGAAGTGCACAAGCTGATTTTTTTCAGAATGATGTCGTGAAGCACTCGGAGCAAGAGATCTGAGCAAGACCAGCACAACAAACGTTGTGTCCTCGCACCAGACAACTGCAAGCAGAGCCTCACAAACGGCAAATTTGTTCAGAAAAAGTTGAACATGCCATCCCCCATGACATTTGGACCAGAAAAATGGGAGGGGTTGACGTCTGTAGAAAATGGGCATTCTTTAGTCTCAAGGAGGTAAACTCTCCCGTTTTCTAGACATCACCTTGTTTTCGCGATCCCACCGTGATCCTCACTTTCTCATAAGGTTTCTCATTTTCTTGCAAACAAATGAATCCCGACGAGTCAAGACGGAGTTCAAGCAAAACATAGCAAGAAGTAACATTTCAATTCGTCAAAGATCTAGACATAAAATTCAAGAAACATGTTCAGAATATTCCAGACACACCCCCAATTTTCAGTCCGAATATCATGAGGAAAGGGTGTCGACCGGTGCGACGGGTCCTGCGAAGCCGTTTTTGTTCTTTTTCGTCGTTGGCGGACGCTTTCCAAAGGGCCTATGGAAGGGTCTGGTGGAGCGTTCGCTGAAAGGTGATCGGTGGCCACATGTGCCCCAAGCATTTCCTGCAAAGGCCAAGAACCTTTGACCGGGCATGGGATTTGGTCAGTCTTCGGCCAAAGCGGAGTTAGGTTCGATCAATCGGTGGGGTTTGGCTTTGAAGGTCATGATTTTGCGAGATTGTTCAATTCATCAATCATCTATACATCTAGAAAACCAAATATGACTCTAGGGACGATTTTCTCGCACCTTGTGCTGCTTTTGGAGGTGTATGATCTCTACACCTTAACGCGCTTTTGGTGGATCGCCTTCGTCCGCCGCGATCTGCGCGCACAGATCTGCCGAGCGGCTCATCATCCGAGAGTGAAGCCATGCGCAATTGGGCGGCTCGGTGCAAGGGTGAAGAGCTACTATGCTGCTCTGACGGGGGATCTTTGAGCACCTTTTTTTGGATATGCCAAAGCAAACGTCATTAGCCTTAGACATGGGACACACAACAACACATTGAAATGTTGGTTTTTGGGCCTCCGAGTTTTCACACACAAACTCAGTGATGCAGTAGTCTTTCAGAATGTGACATCGACATCATGTTACATCTGTTTTGATCTGGACTCTGGTTTTCATCCGAATTCCACCGACGTCTTGGTGAAAGCTGCTTGGACAAACCTGCGTCATCTCCACGGAGGGTCAAACGTGAGAAGCTGCCGGTGTTCACCGCGGTGTCTGGAAATCAACTCGGTCTGGGCATGTTTTTTCAGATCGGCCTGAGCAGTCGGAAGACCCACGAAGAACCTTCAACGATGAAAGACCATGCCGGCGTATCACTTCCTCAGCCAAACACCTAAATTGTGGCCCAAGACATCTGGAATTGTCAGACTCAAAAGCGCCGTCAACTTCCCTCTTGGAACTTGACATGCCCAAATTGATGAAGCATCTGCAACTGAAGTGTCTCTCGCGAGGTGACTTCTTCCTACCCATGATGAAACACCGCGCCGACACCGTTTTTCGCCGCACGCTTGGAGGAGCTCCACGTCCACCTCGACAAGGAAATGCGCCACCCTAGAAATCCCGTCGCTAGGCGGACATTGAGAACTCAAAATAGCTTGCAGCATCTTACAGCAGCATCCTGACCTGAAGATGAACCAATTCAAATCTGTCGTGACTTGTGAGCCGGATGCTGAACAAGTCGCAAGTGCAATCGCGGTCCAACATGCCAACCAAAGGTTAACAAATGAGGCAGGCAGTTGCTGCAGGCGACATTCGTGAGGAGGCCATTAAACCCTATACAACGATTGAGAACCCTTTAGTATATACTTTAGTCCTGAAAGTGCCCTCATGTCAACTAACACGGACTCTCAAATTTGACGAAGCACCTCCGGACGGAGTGGCTCTGCCCGTAGTGTGCGCATTTCTAGGACCATCCGCCCGGCGACACGAATTCCGCCCACCCGGCGCACCGAAGTCCCGCGCCGGTCTGCGTGGCCTGACCTTGGCGAAGGGAAATCTGGGAGCACCCGCTTCTTTATCCTCAAAGGATCCGGCTCGGCCACTCCGTTCGTAGCGATGCCCTTTGCTCCTAGTAGCAAAATTTGCTCCTAGTAGTAAGGCCAGGAGCCCCTAGTAGCGTCCTTGCTCCTAGTAGCGATGCCCTTTGCTCCTAAGGTGTCACAACAATTCTCTCGAATTATGGTGGATCTGGTTGCCAGTAGTGAGTACTAGCAGTAACTATATTCACAGCGCTTCGCGTTCGAAGCCGCCCGCACCCCGCGGAACAGTGCATTATTGATATCGTGGGCGTGTTCGTCCGTGTGTATTGCCCGACTGAGGCAGACAGACCGAGAGACCGAGACAAACACGGTTTGTTCAAGCCTCCACAACGCCTCGGCACCTTTTGAGGCTCAGGTGGTTTTCTGATGCAAAGACTCCATGCCGCTGGCCCTACATCACTCTTGACCCTTGAGCAAATGAAACTATCCACCCCTGTTCCGGATGTCAAGCAGTGAAAGCTCATGCTCAACATCCATCGACACCGTGCATCACATGAGCTCTACTTCAGTGTGATCAACCGGGCAGCTCGTAGGCAAGTCCTTTTTTTGGGGGGGCTGTCTATCCAATATCCCGTCCTTCGAAAAGTAAGAAACACAAGCCTGGAAACTTAGCTTGATTTCTGGCGCGGATGCCAAAAACTCAAACATTAATGTGCGACCTAGAACGTATCCAGGAACAGCATTCTGGTTCGAAGCCAGTCAATTCTGTAACCACGTTCTCGTTGGTTTGTCAAAGTAAGTTCCAATGCGCCGAATCGGTCGGGAAGGACAAAGAGTAAAACACCTTTCAATCAAAGAACTGAAAGGGGATCCGACAAAAACCCCGGGGTTTCTGGCCGTTTCTACACTCAAACGTGTTTCGGTCTGGCCATATCGACTGCTCGTGTTTCGGTCCCGGCTCTCGGACTCGCTCCGCCTCATTCGGAACTCCGCGGAGTTGGTCCAGTTGGGATGCCCTTTGCTTCTAGTAGCGCCCTTGTTACTAGTAGTAAGGCCAGGAGCCCCTAGTAGCGAACCTTGCTCCTAGTA